TCTACATCTGACAATTGTGTCTTTGTTGGTGGTAACCTAATATCCTGGAAGAGTAAGAAATAGAATGTGGTTTCCCTTCGAATGCTGAATCAGAATATCGAGCTATGGCGCAATCTGCATGTGAGATCATATGGATAAGCCATTTATTGAGTGAATTCGGATTGAAGACATCAATGCCTTGCTAAATTGTGGTGTGATAACCAAGATGTTGAATGACTGAGCCGGTTCTAAAGATGATCGAAGATCTACACCTAGCAATTGTGTCTTTGTTGGTGGTAACCTAGTATCCTGGAAAAGTAAGAAATAGAATGCGGTTTCCCCTTCGAGTGCTGAATCAGAATATCGAGCTATGGCACAATCTGTATGTTAGATCATATGGATAAGCCATTTATTGAGTGAGTTCGGATTGAAGACATCAATGCCTCCTGAATTGTGGTGTGATAACCAAGCTGCTATAAACATAGCAAATAATCTGATATTTCATGAGAGAACAAAACATATTGAGGTTCAAGGCCGGCCATGAGGGCATTCTTCCTAGACAAGTGTTTAGGGCCCCCAAATTTTAGGGGCCTTCAATTCTTAAATTAAGCCTATTAATAATATATATTTGTATTTAACTTAAATTGTAAATTCTTAATTAAATATCAATTCCCATATGTAAATACTCGATCCCAGACACCGAGCCACAAATGGCAGCGACCTTCAAACTTCAGGCCTCACAACTCTTTTAAGAATACTACGTATGATTTAGTTCATTTCATTACTAGATTACTTTGTACATCGTTTAGGTTGTTTAGTTCATTTTTTCCAATTGTTAGTCGGCTAGGGAGTAGGGGTCTAGATATACAAGTATGTAATTGTATGATATGGGAGAAGAAGTCAAGAAACATTATACTTGTCACGACGGTAAGTCGAGTCGCGGCGCCGGCCAACTGCCATATCGCCTAGGCGATTAGGCGCCCGCCTAGGCGACAATTAGGCGACTAGTCGCCTATATATTTATATATATATAATTATGTATATAATTATATATATAATCATACACATAATTAAACTGTGCAAAATATATATCATACGTAGTATATATTAGTATGTACCAGTTTTTATGATTATTTTAACAGTTTATTATTTTATAATTTAGAACATATAATAAAATAGAAGTCTCACAGGTTGGGTATATCATTATATCATATTATATCTTGATTCTGTAATATAGAAGTGTATATATACACATATATTGATAGATAGATGAAAATACACCCTTTATATATATATATATAAATACACAACTCAATTAATTAAAATAATAAAAAATGAAGCCAAGAAGAAGAGATCGGGGACTGGGAACTAGGGAGTCGCCTGCTACTCTGCTTCCGCGAGCGAGGGACAAGGAGGGCCATACCTGCGACTTTGTCTTCTTCGTGGAGTTGTTCGTCTGCTTCCTACGACTCTACGAGGCTGCGACTTGGCTTGGCTATACGACTTTGGGCAACGAATCGTCGGTAAGGAAGATTAAATCTATGGGCTTGCTTTTAATTAAAGCCTAAATCTATTTTTATTTTGGGTTCTGGGCCTGCGCCATAGCAGTCCGACTTTCCAAAAAGGCGAGGACTTCGACGCCAAAACAACGCCTAGACGACGCCTAGACGACGTCTAGGCGAGTGAAGCTGGCGAGTAGTCCCTAGCGCCAGGACGCCTAGTCGGCGACTAGGCGACGCCGTGACAAGCATGGAAACAATACATTATTAATATTATTATCATTATTACTATTATTATTAATACTATGTCTGCTTTAGGCAGCTTCTTAATTAGCATTTATCTCCTTCTATAATTAGTCATATTCTGCTTTAGGCAGTTTCTTAATTAGCATTTATCTACTTTTATAATTATTCCTATTTTGCTTTAGGCAACTTCTTAGTTAGCATTTATTTCCTTTTCTAATTAGGACTCTTGTAATACCTATATAACGGACATCCGTATTATACAATAGAGAGCTTGGGAAGAATTATTTCTTTTGTGTCTTGACAAGGTCGGACACAAATTAATTCTAGCTTAGGCTTATTTTATTATTCTTCTCTCATATTCTCTATTTCCTAGATCTAAAACGAGATCCCAACCACGCCCGTAACAATTTGGTATCAGAGCCATCACGTTCCTGTTCGATTCATCTTATTCCGCACCTTTTCAGTTTTATCACATTCCTGCTCAGTTCAAAACTTCAAAATTTTCCCCGCCCTTTCTGTTTTTTTTCCTGTTCATAATTCTCCAAAAAATAAATTACTGGACCAACACATCTAGTTCTTCAACAGAGAAGCCAAAAAAACAGATGCAGGTCAACGACGCCTCACTAGTGACAACACTCCAACAAGGTGCAAATAGGTATATGCATGGCCAAGAACGTTTGACTAAAAATCTTCGTGAATTGAATGTCTCGATCTCTGAAACAACCAAGGCTCTCGCAACTGCTATGGGGTCTGACTGTTGCTACAAGGAAACTTGCTTCTATCATTATTCCTCCTTCTACGCTGACCTTTGAAACCGTTATGGAAGATCTTGATTTTGTTAAAAAGAGACTTGCTTCAGTCCAAACAGTCCCTCTGTGTCGTACGTTTAGTCCCGTATGGAAACAATTATCCCGTGCTGACGTGGCTGCAAGACACGCTAAAGGTTTATGTTATAATTGTGACGAACAATGGATGCGAGGCCAACATCGCTGCAAACGTCTGTTTTACATAGAAATTTTAGATTTCGAAGATCCACACTATACACCATCTCCTTTACTGCAACCAATAACTCAGACGCCTCCGCCATCGGATAAGATTTTGCAGCCCACATCTCTACCATCTCCATCGTTGCCAGAAATCGAATCGTTTCCACTGCAAAAGTTGAGGCTTGAACCAGTAGTGTCCACACCTAAAATTGTATCTCAACAGCCCTCATTGCCTCCACATCTACCAGATAAGTTGATAGTAAATCCTTTGCCAAATCTGGTAGCCCAAAAGTTTCTGGTAACTCCACCAGAAAAGATCTACAACTCTCCACTACACTTAATTCCGTGCAAGTATTTAAAGAATGAAGGCCTTGGAGAATCGAAGAGGAAAAAGTGTCATGATGTCCTAGGATTGCATGTCAAACTCATCCTCCTTCACATTATCACACATGGTTGTTTATTCGTTTATTTCCCAATGATGCCGTTTGATCGTGGAAAAGGTGGACACTATCGCCGGTTACTTCCATTCAAGCTCGAGGACAAGCTTGATGTCCAAGAGGGGAGTAATGATGTGGGAGAAGAAGTCAAGAAACAATACATTATTAATATTATTATCATTATTACTATTATTATTAATACTATGTCTGCTTTAGGCAGCTTCTTAATTAGCATTTATCTCTTTCTATAATTAGTCATATTCTGCTTTAGGCAGTTTCTTAATTAGCATTTATCTACTTTTATAATTATTCCTATTTTGCTTTAGGCAACTTCTTAGTTAGCATTTATTTCCTTTTCTAATTAGGACTCTTGTAATAGCTATATAAGGGACATCCGTATTATACAATAGAGAGCTTGGGAAGAATTATTTCTTTTGTGTCTTGACAAGGTCGGGCACAAATTAATTCTAGCTTAGGCTTATTTTATTATTATTCTCTCATATTCTCTATTTCCTAGATCTAAAACGAGATCCCAACCACGCCCGTAACATTGTATTAGAGTAATTAAAGTAAATAGAAATTAATAACTCAATAACTGCCATACAAGTATAAAGTATTTGATCCATGAATCTATTGATTTACTTAAACAGCTCAATTACTCATTTAGGTGTGTAAAATAATAATTTGATTATAATTAGTACTTTGTGAATGTATTAAAACAATTGCATTATAAGTATAAAGTATTGATCTATAAATCTATTGACTTACTCAAATAACTCAATTACTCATTTAGGTGTGCAAAATTTTGAATATTTATAATCCTAATATCTTATTTATGATGAGCAATAAATTTTTATTTATGAAGCATTTACTTATTTATTACGTACTTCATCCATTCCGCTAAGATTGTTTCATATTTCCTTTTTAGTCTCTCCAACTAAAATTGTCTCATACCAAATTTGATAAAGTTTATGTGGTTTAAAATCATTCTTACTTTATTCTTACTTTATCAATTCTCTATCAATCACATAAACTCATTGTTTTATTAACCACACTTCCTTCTCATGTTTCAATGTTAGTAGGACGGAGGTAATATTATTTTGAATGAAATTGTAGGTTTTGTGATGATAGGAAAACGAAAACGTGATTAGGTGTGTACAAAGAGAAGAACAAAGTAAAAAAGGACTTGAGTATAAAATCGTTTGCGAGCTCTATGGATATATATTTAAAGAAACGAAATGTCTATATGATTGTCTAGGGCCTCACATTTGCTCTAGACGGCCCTGTTGAGGTTGATTGTCATTTTATCCGAGAGAAGATACATAAGGGATTGATCTCTATCGGTGTGAAGACTGGAGAACAACTTGGTGATTTATTCACGAAAGCACTAAATGAGACTCGAGTTGATTATTTATGTAACAAGTAGGGCATGATAAATATATATGCTCCAACTTGTCCAACTTGAGGGGGAGTGATATATATTAGAATGAATGTATGAATATGCTTTGGAATATTCAGGAATATACTATAGGATATTATTACACTAAAGAATCTTATAGGGATATTCATTTTTGTAATATATATTTATAGGGATTCCAACCCTTCAATAAAGACATAAAATATTTCTCTCTACCTTCAATATTATTCTAGTTTATATTTCAAAGGGTTAAACACGACTTTTGTCTGGGGGAGGGCGGTTAACAAGTAAAATCATGGAAATAACTTTTTTGGGGACCAGGGCAGGGTTGAAGAACATCTTAATGCATTCTGGATCGGTCTTAACTTATCATTCTCAATATTTTGGAAATTCTCGCATGTTTGTGCCTGATTATTGTAAGTTTTTTTTTACACAGGTTGCTTCTGGTTCAAAAACAGTTCTTGCTGTTGGGCCTGGTATGCTTCTATTTTGTCTTCAACCTTTCTAACTTTTATTGATGGGATATGGTAGCTCCCAGCTGCAGATGACAAGCTCTATGCAGCATTCACCACTTTCTACTTTATATGATGTGTTGATTCTGCTGCACATTTTGATAGCTTCTCGCTTGGTCTAGTTGTAGTTATTGGAGGCCATTTGAGAACACGAAAGTTCACTTTTCCAGGAAATTCAGGCATGTTTGGCAGGAGTTGTTATACTGAATTTTGAGCCAATTTAGCGATTGAAAAGACTGATTTAGGATGTTTTCTTTTGGGTTGGAATTTGCTGGTCTAATTTGGTCAGATCTGTTTAAGTCTGTTCTGTTTAACGTCTGGTCTCTGTGTATTTTATAACTATCCAAGTGTGGACTGGTCTAGTCTGTTTAAGTCTAATCTGGTATGATTTGTTTAAGTCTGGTTTGGTCTGGCCTGATCTGAGATCGAAAACAGTCCAAAAGAAAGCATCCTTAGTGTGCTCATCCAACCTATTAACCTATTATGCTAATAAGCAAACTAAGCAGAATAATACGTTTTTGGGCCTCCAAGCGGAGCCCTAAAAGGTGGGAAGTTTGTCATGTTTGATGCGTGTTTTGACCCAGTAAGTGGTTGAAGTTTGGGACTTTGGGTCAACTAGGAAAGTAATCCCTAGGAATTAGAAGTGAATTCAAGCTGCTATGGTGGGTTGATTCTCCTTCACAACAAAGTTATTCCCATTATGGATAAATCCTCAAATTATTTTGATTAATTAATGGAAAATCAAATCATGTCCATATCATGATGTTTTATCATAGACAAGTGAAAAAAGCTTATTGCCTTGTAATGAGGATGCGTTATAGATAGGGTAGCGCCTAGTTGTCTATGTGTACAAATATTGTTTCTTCATTGTCGATTCCATTTGGTGGATCTCAACAAACGTGCAGGAAGTAAAGCAACAGTGGATTCCATAACTGGGAAATTAAACCTGCTTTGAATTCCTGGAAACTAAATAGGCCTTGATGGTGGGATATTACGATGGCCATTTCTTCGCTATTTGATCTTGAGAGCTGACAAGAGACTGCAGGCAGAAGCCAAGCTGCAGCCTTTCATGGACTGCAAGTTTTGCTTTTCTACTAGTAATCCAGTCTCCTGTTTTAAAAGAGCAATTTTCCAAACAAATTGGGCATGTTATTGTAAACATTACGATGTAAAAGTTTCCTATATACTGTGTCATTTGTTGATCAATGCTACTTGTGATGGATATGAAAGCTGGTGGAAATGACGTGACGAGATGATGGATATGGATAGTAAAGATGGAGGATTATAAGATGATATTAGTGATGAAAGATGAACATGATGATGAAGAGAGAAGATGATTACGATGAAAATTGAACAAAGAAGGAGTTGGTTGGGACTTGGGAGAGAATGGTATGAAAGAAAGAAAGAAAGAAAGAAGAGGGGGGAGGGGAGAAGGGGTAAGATGTAAAAAGAGAATGGTACAAATTAAGAGGTATTTACGGACTGTATGGAGACATGGAGTGCGTACACTTTATGTGTACAAATAGCATTTTTGTTTGTTGATTACACAAGCACCTTAGGTTGATTTTTTTTTTGCAATACATGAACCGATTCATTAAATTGGAGTTAAAAACCTAAAAAAGATAAAAAGATAAAATAAGATTAAAATGGTAAAAAAGATAAGATAAGAATGATAAGGTACAAAGGATAAAAAAGTCATGATATAAAGAATAATCGGATAAATAGTACAAAGAAGAAAAAAACATAAAAGGATAAAACGATCAAAAAAGATTAATCCTTTGCTCTCTCTAGACTCTTAATCCATGTCCAGAAGTCTATGGAGTCGAAATATGTTGTTCAAAAGATAGAGTTTTTATATGGCTTTAATTATTTTCATTTTTTATCATGAATTAATACTAAGGGAGGGCATCTGAAGTACTATAGTCACCATGGATTCACCATTGCTACACCAAAAGGATGTGAAGCATGACATAAAAGGGCGGAGTCCCCATCACCGATTCTTCATCTTCAACTCCTTAAAGTTAAAGTTGATGCTGAAAATTGTAGAGTGTAAATGAAGTTGGAACAATAATTTTAGAGCTCCAAATTATCTTTCCAATGAGATATAATACGCTCTAAACGGAAGAACACGCAACAAGGTATGAATGTTACAAATACTTAGTCTTATCACTATGATTTAGCGTTTTCAACGTAAATAGAGTACTTTTAGCGTAAATACAATGTATTGTACTACCTCCGTCCCGCTATGATTATCCCGTTTTACTTTATCGGTCCGTCCCAATGAGATTGTCTCATACCAAATTTGGTAAAGTTTGTGTGGCTATAAATCATTCTTACTTTATTCTTACTTTATCAATTCAATATCAATCACGTGAACCAATTTTTATTGGTTTGCTTGTCACTGCATTGCCCAATTGTTTGAGCGTCACTCCGTGTTGTCCCATTCTTTGCCTGAGCACGTCTTACATTTTGGTGCGCCTAGACATTTGGATGGCGCGCGGAGCACATCCTTTCTACACTGGTAGGGCGCTGTGTTTTTTCTGTTTCCTTGTTCGTGAAAATCCGAGTAGTATTATCCGGGCTTAAACCCAAAACCCTACGCTGCTACTAGGGGAAACAGTCGGCCGTTCATTCTCAACCTTTATCGAAACTTTCCAGTCTCAATGCCAGTCAAACTCTTTCCACACCTCCGTTTTCTTAACTCCTGTAATCCCATCGCCTCATTTTCCGTCATGAAACCTGAATCGTTATCTAAGCCTTCTCGAGCCATGCCCATTTTGTCTCGGGTCTTCTCGCACAAGCTTAAGTACCGGCCTTTCAGGTTTCCCCTTCAGCCGCAGCCCATGAAAGGCCAGTTTGCTTACCGAAAATTATCGACCTGGTCCGGGCGAGGTGGACCCCGCGGGAAGTCGGGTTCGGCCCGTGAAAGTCGGGTTCAGAGGAGTCTGGTGGATGATGAAGCTGATCTCAGTGACTGGGTTAGCGGGTTGAGGTCTGATTCATATCTGAAAACTAGGGTTTATAGCGACAGCGATGACAATGATGATAGTGATGGTGGTGGCTTTGCTGGAAAATCTAGTAGCAGTAGAGTGACAAGGGAGAGAGTGGATGACAGCAGTAGAGGGCAAAGGGGGAGAGGGGATGGCAACGGTAGAGGGCAAAGGGGGAGAGGGGATGACAGCGGTAAATGGCAAAGGAGTATAGGCGATGATGGTGGCAGAGGGAGATCACTGAGAGAAGAGAGAACTTCAAGGGAGGGAGGGAGGCTTGGTAGTGAAGCTAGATCTGATAGGAGGAATGTTGGGCCTGATAGAGTGCAGTCCTTTTCTAAAAGCGGTGTGAAAACAGGAAATGAAGGTAGATTTGACAGGAGAAATATGGGACCTGATCGAGTTCAGCCATTTCTGAGGAAAGGCGGGAGGTTTGAGGTCGGAGTGAAAAAGAGAGGTATGGAAGAGTTTGAAGCTGGATACAGCAAGGACAAGATCACAAGTAATGGTCGTGGTGGGATGGTAAAGAAAGGTGGGAGGAATGAGATTGGTGGAAAAGGTTTATCTTTGTTAAGTGAAGATGAAGATGACGAGGATGACGACGATGAGGATAGTGGATATAAAAAGTTCAGTGGGTTGATAGACAGCAATGATGAAGACAGTGAAGAAGAAGCAGCTAGTGGGGATGATGATGAGGACGATGATGATGATGATGATGATGGTACTATTGAGAAAGAAACTGTCCCATATTCTTCTTCCTCTCTGGGAAAGGAAGTTATCTCGCAGGCCTCCTCTGGAGGAGGGGTAATTGGATCATACCTTAGTGATACTAGATTTGATCAGTTTTCACTCTCACCCCTATCACTAAAAGGAATAAAAGATGCCGGATATGAAAAGATGACACTCGTTCAAGAAGCAACCTTTCCCCTCATTTTGAAAGGCAAAGATGTTCTAGCCAAGGCCAAAACTGGAACCGGAAAAACTGTAGCATTTTTACTTCCTTCGATTGAAATCGTCCTAAAGTCAGTTCTTGCCACCCGTGACCAAAAACTCCCTCCATTTCTCGTACTCGTGGTGTGCCCCACCAGAGAACTTGCAAGCCAAGCGGGAGCTGAAGCCAACTCTCTTTTGAAGTATCATCCCACGATCGGAGTTCAAGTCATCATAGGTGGAACACGTCTCGCTCTAGAGCAAAAAAGGATGCAAGTGAATCCATGTCAGATCCTAGTTGCGACGCCCGGGCGGCTCAAAGATCACATTGAGAACACGTCTGGTTTCGCGACCCGTTTAATGGGTGTCAAGGTTTTGGTTCTTGACGAGGCTGATCACTTGCTAGACATGGGTTTCCGTAAAGACATTGAGCGAATAATCTCTGCAATCCCTAAACAACGGCAAACGCTCCTTTTTTCCGCCACTGTCCCCGAGGAAGTCCGCCACATCTCCCACATTGCTTTGAAAAGAGACCACGAATTCATCAACACCGTCAAGGAGGGAAGTGAGGAGACACATTCTCAAGTCCAACAAATGTATCTGGTTGCCCCTTTAGACAAACAGTTCCCACTCGTTTATTCAATGCTCAGAGACCACATTGCTGAGGATGTGAATTATAAGGTTCTTGTCTTTTGCACGACAGCTATGGTAACAAGGCTCGTAGCAGAGCTTCTCGGGGAGCTTCACCTGAATGTTCGGGAAATACATTCCCGAAAACCCCAAAGCTACCGAACACGGGTTTCGGACGAGTTCAGGAAATCAAAAGGCCTTATCCTTGTGACGTCTGACGTGTCAGCCCGTGGAGTGGATTATCCTGATGTGACCCTTGTGATACAGATTGGGCTCCCATCTGACAGGCAGCAGTACATACATAGGCTGGGACGGACGGGGAGGAAGGGTAAAGAAGGGAAAGGGGTGCTGTTGTTGGCGCCTTGGGAGGAGTTTTTCTTGTCGACTGTCAAAGATTTGCCTATGAAAAAGGCAGGAGCTCCATTGGTTGATCCGGAAACGAAGAAGAAAGTTGAGAAGGCCCTTTCACTCGTTCAGATGAAGAACAAAGAAGCTGCTTATCAGGCTTGGCTCGGGTATTATAATTCAATCAAGACTGTTGGTGGGGACAAGTATAGGCTTGTTGAGTTGGCCAATGAGTTTAGTAGGAGCATGGGGCTTGACAACCCTCCTGCCGTTTCTAAGCTCGTGCTGGGTAAGATGGGGCTTAAGAATATTCCTGGCTTGCGTTCCAAGTAGGTATGAGGAGGGAGTTTCATAATAAACTTGTTGGGTTTTGTAGATTTTCAGTTTATTGATGTTTTTAAAGGACATTATGTTTCTTTTCTGAATTTCGTGATGTTCATTGATGTGGATCAGTTTTTCTTCTGCTCTATTTAACGTTTGTTCACCCCTTAATGCTTTGTGATGCCTCTCTTACTCCAAATCAAAGTGTTTTTATCACATATTTACTGATGAAATTGGTTGAATATAAATGAGTGGTAAAAAGTGAAATAGTACATCCATGATTTGTCAGGTTGATATTCTTGCTAGTCATTCATCATTTGAAGGTTCAATTACCCATCTTCGACCAAATTTATCATAATACAGAGAGTCAGTGACGGCCATTAGTTGGACTCAGATTCCTAAATTGTTTCTTAGTGCAACTTATGGGACTTACTGGTCTAATATCACTTACAACAACAATCGTCAAATAGAGCCCTCTTCTCTCTCAGCAATCTTTGGTCGGCAACAACTCGGACTATTGTTGGATTTGTCGAAGCCCTCCGTACCTAGCGGCAATAAAATCAAAGCAACAACTCCCTTACTACAAGGGGTTGGTTTTCCAGAAATCAAAAGGAGAAGAGAACAACCGCATGATCAGCTAACTCTGATGATAAACTCAAAATGGTAGCTTTTGTTGGTTTTATGTTCTCTACACAATTTCATGTGTGCCTTTTCTTTCTGGTATTTTCTTACTCGTAATTTTCTATATGAAGCTGCAATAACATTTTTTTGAACTGTGGAACTTCGTTTTACTCTGTTTTGAAACTTAAAATCATTTCCCAAAGCAAAGTATTTCTGAATTAACTATTGAAAGGTCAGATCAAGGTCACTTCAAAAACATCTTTTTATGTTGGAAGCCTTGAGGAATGAATCAGATGTCATGTAAGAATTAAGAACATTTTCGAGTTTAATTCAGACTGAGTTAGGGTTGTTTTCACAGATTAAGACCACTTCGGATGTTTTCTTGTGGATTGTTTT